TGCTTGACGGCGTTTCTCCTCGTCTCATGAGCCTGGTGCAGTACAAAATAGAAGAAAAAGCAATTTCTATTACGTAGAAATGCTTGAGCCGTTGATAGGGTCTGGTCCAGGAATAGGAATAAATAACCTGGATTTTGCTAGCAGGCCATCATCCCACTCAAGAATATTTATGGATCTATATGGTCTGTCTGTTTGATACAGTATTTTTTGATTGTCTTCCTCTTGACAGGTTTCAATAAGATTTTCTTAAGTTTCTGTGTTTTGTGTGTGTGTGTGTTTTTAATATTCTTGGCTCTGATAAATAAACAGTAGCTGTAAAGCGTATTGTTCCGTTCATTTGTTTTGTTTTGTTTTTCCAGACAGGGTTTCTCTGTGTAGTCCTGTCTGCCCTGGTACTGGCTCTGTAGACCAGGCTGGCTTCGAACTCAGAGATCCGCTTGCCTTTTGCCTTCCAAGTGCTGGGGTTAAAGGCATGTGCCATCACCGCCTAGCTAAGCTTATTATTCTTAATGTGCTGTGAACCATGGCACCAGTATGATTTTGCAAATACTAAAAGGATCAGAAAGTAGCTCACAGATTTCCCCAAAGGAAAAGCTAGGGGAAGCTACTTAAGGAAAAAGACTCTGGGCCATTATGAGAAGTTGTGAGTGCTTTTTCCTAATAGAATTTGCTGCAGTTGATTAACTGTCACAGTAAGTTTAAATGCATGTATGGTGGTGGATGCCTAAATAACATTTGCATGTTATGTGCAATAGTTTCTTCTCCAGCGTTATGTGAACTGTGTCAAAGTGAATCTGTGACAAGATCTAACAGCCCAGTTGTTTTTGCTATGTAGATGAGGATAGTCTTATTCTACCTAGATCCTTGGCTTACAGGTTTAGGACACCATACCCAGCTACTAGTGAACATTTTTCACATTTATTTTGTTTAGGAAGTTCCTAAACACCTCAGTTTTGTTTTTTTAACTTCAAAGCAGTGCGCGCACGCGTGCGTGCGTGCGTGCGTGCGTGGTGTGTGTGTGTGTGTGTGTGTGTGTGTCTGTGTGTGTGTGTGTGTGTATGCCCGTGAGTGTGCATTGGCCTTGAATACAGTCTCTAACCCCAGGGGTGGGGAGGCAGCTTACCTGGTTCTTACTCCAGACTTGCAAAAACAAAATGAAAAGTTGGGCGGGCTAGGTAGCTCATTAGGTAGGGGGCTTGCTCCAAGCCTGACAACCTGTATTGGATCCCAGATTCCACAAAGCAGGAGGAGGGAACAAGTTTCTGCATCTTGTCCTCTGACTCCCACACCTGTGCGGAGATGTATAAACACAAAATAAATGTCAAAGTTTTGAGTCCCACAGTTCTGAATATTTAGTTTCTTATTTTATGTATGTGTATACCACGTGTCTTCCTGGTGCCTAAGGAGGTCAGAAGAGTGTTTGTAGTGCTGGGAATAAAACCTGGGTCCTCTGCAAGGACAGCGAGCATTCTTACTTGCAGAACCCAAGGGTTCAGAACATTTGGAGAGCACTTCGATAGGTTGATTCTTACATGGGTTCTTTAGGCTATTTAATTGCCTTTTGTTACTATATGTCACAGACTGACAGTCTTTCGCTGGAAAGGGCCAGGTTGTAAATAAATCCTAAGTTGTTTTAGATCTTAGCAGAAATTGTTGAACCCTATCAGTGATACCTTTATAGCCTGAACCATGATTAAATTTAATGATTTATAAACAACAAATTTAAAAAATATTATGGGGCTGGAGAGATGGCTCAGTAGTTAAGAGCACTGGCTGCTTTTCAAGAGGACCCAAGTTCAATTCTCAACACCCATATGGCCATTCCCAATGTCTGTAACTTTGTTCCAGGGGTACCAGCACCCTCACACAGACACCCTTATAGGCAAAAACCAATGCACATAAAATAAACCATTACAATTTTTAAAAATATTTTTACATTTTGTGTATGTGTGTAGGCATGCACGTGCAATGCCACACTTGTGGAGACCAGAGAACACCTTGCAGAAGTAAAGTTCTCTCCTATGTACATGCTGGTTATCAGACTCAAGTCATCAGGCTTGATCGAGGGTACCTTTGCCAGCTGAATGACTGTTGACCCTAGACTGATACATCATATTTTCCTATCATGAAATGTTTCTATGCTTTTTAGCCATTTAAATTTTTACACTATGGATAGTGTAATTGGCAGCAGGCTAGATTGGCTGGGGGTTTCCCAAAGTGGTAAAATTTTTATTCAAAT